ACGCTGCGCCGCCCGGCCCGGGACCCTCGGGCGACGCCGAGGCGGCTGCCGAGAAGGTGGAGGTGGAGCTGGCGGCGCCGGAACCGCGGCCGCCCCCCGAAGGCGGCTGGGGCTGGCTGGTGATGTTGGCGGCGATGTGGTGCAACGGGTCGGTGTTCGGCATCCAGAACGCCTGCGGGGTGCTCTTCGTGTCCATGCTGGAGACCTTCGACTCCAAGGACGACGACCAGATGGTCTTCAAGACAGGTGAGGCGCGAGCCAGCCGCTGCCCCGGGGCCCGGACGCAGGCGCGGGCGTGTGGCCGGGAGTCGCGCGTCTGCCTGCCCAGGCTTCCTCCTTCCCTCTGCAGAGCGGGCGCCCGGAGTGCGCGGGACCTTCCTCCGAGGTTGGAAAGCAACCTGACACCGTCCCGCGGACAGTGCCTTCAGCCACCGTCAGGATCGGATGGGCCCCCGTCTGCCGCTGCGGAGGGGTGCCTTGTGTGTTGGGGACCGTGCGCGAGTGTGGCGAGATGAAAAACGTATCCCAAGGTCATAGGGAGAGACGAGGGGAGCCGTTGGAGAGCCGCCCCCGCCCCCCGTGCTAAATATAGAGGCAGAGGCGGCAGCCGAATCCGAGCTGGGGACCGGGAAGAGGGGGAAGGTTAGGGGTTGCCCCCGCCGGTTGTGTTCTGCGATGTTCTCTGCGGTGCAGTGAAGTACACCCAAAAGGCGCAGACTAAGCGTTTCCCCGCTGAGGAATGCTATTACCTGCCTTCCCTGAGAAGGGAGGAAGTCTAGGACCTGTGTGAAACACTTTTACAAGAATTATTTCACCCCATCCTGCAGAGCAGATGTTGCCAGATGCATTTGGGAGAGAAAACTAAAGCTTAGTGACATGAAGTGGCTTGGTCAGGAGCGGAATGGAGCTGGAACAGACCTCACCTGGCTCCAGGGCTGAGTGATTGCCGTTACTAAGTCAGTCTCCCTCTTGCTGTTCAGGGAACATCATAGGATTAATAATCTAATTAAGGTTTAAAATAAGGTTTTAAACCTTAATTTTCAATTTTTTTGAGCGAATATTCCTTCAGTCTTTAGTGTGCATATAATTAATAAGCAAGACCGTAATAACAAATTCTAAGACAAAACCTTACATAAATACTGTAGTATTATACTATTTGTATCGTTCTGCAACCTACTTCTGCATTATGTTTAGGATGTACCCACATAATACCTCAAATTCTTTTTAATTTAATGTGATTTTCATTATATGAATGTATTGTACTTTATGCATCATTCCTTTAATAGCCATTATATTGTTCCACAACTTAGTAATGCTGCAATGAATACTTTTGTACATTGTCTCCTGAATAAGATATCGTGTTTAACCCAGAATTTCTATTCCTTAAATACTACTGTTGAAGCTGCTGTGTTGTGCAGGTCAGAGTTAGGTACAGAAGGGTTAAAAACGTAGTTACATGTCCTTTTTACCGATGACAGCCTTTGTAAGTTTCAGTAAGCTACATATGTACATATAGTAGTACACAAACATTTTATAAGTTTTATAAATAAGTGTTGAGTATCTGGGAGGAAAAGCTCAAATAGGCAAAATTATGGTTAACTTTTTAATTTCCTTGTTAGCTCTGGAGACTGACATCCCCAGCCTAGAATTAAGCTTTTAAGACAAGTTTCTGCATCACTTAGCCTATTTTATCTGGGTCACAGATTTTTTTGTCTGTTTTTGTGTTTTGAGACAGGGTCTCACTATGTAGTTCAGACTGGTTTTGAGCTCGTGATGAGCCTAGGCTGGCCTTGCACTCACAGCAATCCTCCTGCTTCAGCCTCCTGTATTCTGGGACATGGGATTACAGGCTTGCATCACCAAGCCTGGCTGGGGTCATAGATTTTTTTGGGGGGGGTACTGGGAATTGAATTTAGGACCTTTTGCTTGCGCCCAGCTATATTCTGGCCCATAGATTTTTAATGTGGTCAAAACAACTGCTGTCTTGTTTACTATTGCTTTTACAAACTCAGGTAAGTAGAGTCCATTGGCTTAGGAGTTTTTTTCTTCCTTTTTTAGAATTAAAAAAATCTGAGCTACATCCCAGACTTTTTCATTTTGAGATAGGATCTTGCCAAGTTGCCCAAGGTGAACTTGAATTTATAATCTTCCTGGAGAGGCAGAGGAAAGAAAAACAGGAACACAAGCAGACCCGTACATAGAGACATCATAGCTTTCACAGGGATCAAGTTTTGTAGTATGGAAGTCTACCCATCGCCATAGTTCCAGTTGGCTGTCGTATCCTAGTATCAGGTAGCTGAAGGTGAGTGCATTAGTGTTTCTTTTTTACATTTTTTTTCAAGGCGGGTTCTCACTGTGTAGTCCAGGCCAGCCTTGAATTCACGGTGATTCTCTTGCCTCACCCTCCTGAGTGCTGGGATTATAGGTGGGTAACACCATGCCTGGCAGTCAGCTGCTTTCTATAAATGTAACAAATATTTGAGATGATCAGTGTATACAGACTAAAGGTTTATTTTGCCGGCTCCTGTCCATGGTGACCCTGTTGCCTTCAGCAGCACATCATGGCAGCTGTATGTGCACAGCAGAATCATTCACCGTGTGGCCCATTGAAGAGATGCCGTGTTTCTTGAGGGCACGACCCCAGCAACCTAAGATTTCCCACGAGACCCATCTCTTAAAGATTCCGCCATCTCACCAAGCTGAGAACCACATTTTTAACCCGTGGGCCTTTGGAAGATGTTGCAGATCCTCATGACAGCAGTGAGGCAAAGGAATGGAGTTCTTGAGCTCTTTGTTTTCAATTTTGATGAGTATTTTCTCTGTTTATTTGATTCATTCCGTGACAAGTCTTCTAGTCAGATTTGTGGATGTGTATTATAGAGACAATTGTGTAGGTATGCCAGTTAAATGTATGAAGATCTTCGTGACTATCATGTGGAAATTTGTCCAAACTAGCCTGTGTTTTGGGTACCCTTTGTCTGTTTCCTACATGGGGTCCTATGTGCTTGTAATGGCCCTGTATCACACTGTAGCTGGGCTGAAAATGGCTTTTACTGAGACGCTAGGTAATGCATATGTGACTAATACATTTTTAGGGCTGAAAAATAACTAATCTTAGTTGTGAAAAAATGGTTATAATGTTTTTAAACAAATTATCATTGAGATCTCTCTTTTTACCCCGTCTGCATCCACACAGACACACATACACACACAGACACACACACACACACACACACACACACACACACACACTCACCTACCTCATACCACACACGGTTTATCAAGTCCTTTACTTATAGCAGGCACTGAAGTATTGATGAATATCTGCTTTTTTTTGCAGTGAACCAGGGCCTTATGCATGCTAGGCAAAGTGCTCTACCTTAGAGCTACATTCCCTAGCCCCAAACTTTTTTGAAATTTGTGATTTTGAAAAAATTTGATACTCTCATGCTGAGTTATCTGTGATCAAATATGTAGTATGCAAACTTAAGGTACAACACAGATTTTCTTGAACTTGTTTTTAGGCTTTTATTTTTTCAAAGTTTTGGAGTATTTTCTGTTATTCATGACCTGGCCTTAGAGGGAGTTAGTTCTATCTCTTTGTTTTCAGCAGCTTATTTATAGTGATTGATTAGCCCAGCCACACACAGGGAAGCAGTGGTGGAATGGGAATGTGGGTTTCCAAATGACTGTGCGCATTTCTCAAGCACTTCCTATAGCTAAGCACTTTTCATGCATTTCTATTTAAACCTTACAGCAGCCCCATGAGATAAGCTGTAGTAGTGTCTTTCTTTTCAGATAAGCAAACTCAGGCTCACAGAGTTGAAGTAAACAAAGGAGCCAGATTTCAGTCTCAGGTTTATTTGACTCCAGGAACTGGGTTTTAACCACTGATCACATTGCACTGGCTAAAGACAGTTCTGAAAAATCTGATTTTTTTTTAATGTTTTTGACTTGTGATTGTTTTGAGTATTATACTAAGCATTCTGGGGTTAGAAACAAGCTGGAAAAATTAGGGTCCCTGTTTCCAATGTTTCACTGAAATAGAGTTTTGAAATCTAGAGAGACTTTCACAGAGAAACATGATTCTTGAAGCAAACATGGTGTTTAAGCAAAGGTCGAAGGCTTCCTTTGAAGAAGCCTTCCTTCCATGCTCCTTTGGCTCGATCCATAGCAGGACAGTACTTCCCTGCAGAAGCTTTCCCCTACAGGAGTTTTTTGGTGTCTCACTATGTAGTTCAGGCTGGCCTTGAACTCACTGTGTACCCCAGACTGGCCTTGGACTCCTGGTAATCTCCTGCCTCAGCCTCCATAGTGCTGGAATTACAGGTGTGCACCACCATGCCTGACTTTTCTTGATACAGTGCCGTGGCACATTGAGATTTTGGTAGGCCATTAGTCTCTTTTTGCTCATGTACTTTATTCCTGGAGTGACAATTTTTTAACTGGTTATACAGAGGATTTGGTTTCATTTTGGCCAATCTGTACATGCACATAACATACTTTGGTCATTGGAAGCCCTCTTTCACCCCTTGGTTGGCTTTCAGTTCTAGTTTTGCGTATTTTGTGGGGTTATTTGTTGTGTACATTTCAATGTGTCCATCACCTCATTGCCTACTCCTGTTTTCCCTCTCCTCCCCCTTATTCTCTTCCTCTTGTTTAGTCATAGTCTCCCACTTTCTTGTCATCGTTTTAGATTCCACATATTGGGGAGAATGTGCAGTATTTATCGAGGAAGACACATATTTCAGTGGTACATCTGACTTTTAAAAAATACCGATTTTGAACAAGTTTGTTGTTAGAATCCATACTTAGGGCAGTTAATGATATCCTTTTGAAGAAATTACCATTTCTTCATGGTTCAAAGACTTGGTGAAGAAGATCTTTACTTCTTTCAGTAATTCCCAAAATGTGTTGTGAAATAGCCGTTCTTGAAAGTTGGGGGTCTGTGGTTAACTGTGGGAAACAGTGCACACTACAATCCTCTCTTCCATATTTAAAGTAAAAAACAAGATATTAAAATTGGAAATTTTTTTTGTCTTTTTGAGACAGGGTCTCACTCTGCAGTTCAGGCTGGTCTTGAGCTCACTTTGTAGCCCAGGCTGGCCTAGAACTTGGAACAATCCTCCTGCCTCAGTAAAATTAAATTTAAAAGAAAAGTTGACTATCAAAAAGGTCTTGAAAGGGAGGCTGTTTGGCCACAATCTTTTCTTTATGGTAACAGATTACAATGACAATCACGAATT